AAAAAAAAAAAAAAAAAAAAAAAAGACAAGCCCCCCCCCACACAAAAAAAATAGTGGAGACTCTTGAGAGGTAGAGACAGCAAGAAAGAGGCCAAGCTGTGATTCAGTCCCAAGTGTGTCCAGCTGCCTACTTCCTGATGTCTGCACGGCATTTTGGGGTGAGCCTTGGGTAGGCTTCATAAAGAAGATGGACTCAAGATGGGCCTCCAGGGATGGGGAGGTGTGGGCGAGATGGGGGAAAAGGGGGAGCAAAAGCTCTGGTGGTGGTGTAAGCGGAGAAGATGAAGAGTTCTGCCTGAGGGAGGACAGAGGAGTGAGAGCCAGGAGAAGTGGGCACACAGAGTGCTGCGGAGGGGCCTGGAGGGGCCTGGCCGGCTGGGGATTGCCCACATGGCCCCCAGAGTCACTCTTAGGCTCAGGGAAGATGTGAGCCACACCAAGACAGCACTCACCTTTGAGCAGCTGGTTGTGGGCAGGTGTGAAGCTGAATGGCCTTCTGGGGCCTTGGGTTTCCCCCTCTGACAAGAGCTTGCCTTTTCCCCCAGGGGAAGTGAAACTGGTTTGAGATGATCTCCCTTGGTAACTGACATGTGAGACAGAAGTGGCAGGAGTTAGTCATGTACATAGAGAAGAGGTATGGAGGGCACAGGGTTACTAGTACTCAGAACAAGACAGCAGGTTAAAGTGACACTTCGGTCACTCGGAAGTCATCTCCCGAAGCACTGCTGGATGACAGTGGGCCTGGAAGGCTCTTAGCAGCTACACTAGCAGACGCTAAGTCCTTGTGGGAAAGCCCAGGCCCTTCACTCGTTGGAGAACCTAACAGGTTCGCTGACACCCACTTGTTCTTTTTCGGACACTCTTCTCTGAGGCCTGATTGTCTGCTTTTTCAGCTCTTGGCACAAATAACATATTAGAAGAAAGTGGGACTGCTTGAGACTGTCAGGCAAGTGACAGCTGATGGCCTGATTGGTAATGGACGAAAGAATGAAAAAGCAAACACACAGTGAAAAAAGGCTCCTGGCCTTCCACATCAGAGATTTCGGGTCAGCTGCGGTGCCTAGGAAGGGGCTGGTGACTCTGAGAGTCTTTCAGCATTGATGGGGTAAAAGCCAGGTTGTTGTAGCCAGGCTGGAAAGTCAGGAGTCGTCTCAATGGCGACAGCATGACTTTTGTTACAGGATGGTGTGACAGTGGACTGGGTGCACCAGGAGAAGCTGAGTTTGAGATCTTTAAGTAGAATTGCTGGGCATGGTGATGCATGCCTGTAATCCAAGCACTCAGGAGGCTGAGGCAGGAGGATTGCCTTGAGTTTGAGGCCAGACTGGGCTGCATAGTGAGTTCAAAGCCAGCCTGAACTGTATAGCAAGACCCTGTCTCAAAAAGCAAAAACAAAAAAAGTAAAGAGTACAAAACATTTGTCTCTTGGTAAATAATAATGGAATTTCGAAAATTATTTGAAATAGAAAATATTTTGCCCCTTAGGCAAAATTAGGTAGACATCAGTTATCTGGAAATTTTGTCTAAGGTGCCCCCTCCCATGATCTAGAATAGACAGTAATAGTTAAAATTTACTGAAAGCTAATGTGCCAAACAGCATTTTCAGAGCTTTATATCCACTAAGTCTTTTATCCCTTAACTAGAGCCAGTCCTGTGTGAAAGATACTGTTAGTTTCCCCATTTTACAGATGAAGAAACTGATGAGAGGTTAAGTTGTGTAGTTTTATGAGGAAGAGCCGTAGTTGAACCAGGCATTCTGGCTCTCAAGGTCTCACCCTCCGGGTGGTACACTAAGAACAATTCTTTGCAAGCTTTGGTTCCCAGACTTCACGCGCATCAGAATCACCTTGAAGCCTGGTTGAGCCACAGATGCTGGGCTCCATGTGGAGTTCTAGATTCAGCAGATCTGGGCTGAAGCCCTGAGTTTGCATTTCTAAAGTCCTCAGGTGATGCCGATACTGCTAGAGACTACACTTTGACAACCAAAGCTCTTTTACAACAGTTCCATATTTGCTTCATATTGATTGGGTAAGAGTCAGAATAGACATAATCATTATCTTATAGAAATGTAAGTCACCTGCCTATGGTCATGCAGCTAAGTCATTCATTCATTCATTCATTCATTCATTCATTCATTCATCCACCGAATTCATATAAGGAGTGAGCACACCTGTGCTGGGCCTTGTGTGGCCCTTACAGTCAAGCAATTCTCAGGCTTGGCTGCAAGTAAGAATCACCTGGCGAGTTTTTAAAATGCCCAGTAAAAATAAATAAATAAATAAATAAAATGCCCAGTGCCCAGGCCTCCTGCTTCTACCAATTAAATCAGAAATTGTGAAGGAAAAAGGTGGGATCCGTACTTTTAAAGTCCTTTAGGGGCTTTCAGTAAGCAGTTGCAGTTGATACCACTCTCCTAAGAAGGCCCAGGGAAGGCAGAAACTTATGACACTGCACATACCCGACAGAGACCAAATGACCTCCTTGGAAAGATGTAACACTCCCTGGAAAGCAGAGGCAAATGCGCCGTGTCCTAATAACCTACGTGTGATAGTGTGAGTAGCTAACTGCAGTGTCTGGTAGCAGTGTTTGGTCTCTTAGGCAGCGCTTTCCGGTGTCTTCCTGCAGAAAGTCATACTCGTTGCCACTCAGTAGCTTTTAGAACTGGCCAGGGGCAACAAGCCTGGGTTTCTTCAAGGTAGGTGGCAGGTACCTCTGCCCCTCTGCTAACAGCCCGCCTGTTTGTTTGTTTGTTTGTCTTTTCCTGGCGAGGAAAAAGGAGATAATGACTTTTCCCTTTTTTTTTTTTTGCCCTGCATAACTGACAACTGAGACTTGCAGATCCTGTCTTTTCCATCCTGCTCCCAAGTCCCATTCCAGCCCCGCACCCCTCAGGGACCCCAGCCCTGATCTGGGCATCCAGTGCTGCTAACTAGAACCAGGCCAGATTTCTCTTGAGGAGCACTGGCTCTTCACTCCAAACCGTTGCTTACTGTCAGACACCCACAGCTTCCTGTCTGCAAGGCTAAGTCCCACCTACCCCGCCCCGCCCACCCCACCTTGCTGTGTGCCTGCGCAGCCACTGGCTGCCGTGTGTGGGAGAAGGGTGTAGACAGAGAGAAATCCTCTGGGTGTCCCCGCATATTTATTACAGTAAGGTGGTAACAGTGGACTTCAGACTGATCTTGTAGTCTCTGCGCCCGCTGGACTTCACAGGACTGCTGTGTGGGCACAGCGTGCAGCGGGCCCTGTGTGCTGTGTTGGATGTGACGTTAGTCTTGGCCTCTGCTGCAGTGATTAGATGGCAGTGGTAGGCCTATGATTTGTGTGTTCTTAGGAACGCTGTGCTGTGATTGAGTGTTCATGCATGCTGGGGTGTGGGGTGTGGGGGGTGTGTATGTGTGTGAATGTGCGTGTGTTTGGCTTGATCTTGGCCTGTGGGGCCGGGGGCTGCAGGTCTCAAATTCCTCTGCTATTTTTAGGGGCCATATCAGCTCAGCTGTCCAGGAGCCTGGGTGTGTGTCTGAAAGTGCCACCCTCCCTGTCCCTTGTCTCTAACCCTCCAGCACGGCCTGCCCCTCATTCCTGGCCTGTGCTGTACGAGTCTTCTCCTTCCTGCCACATTCCCTCTTGTTCTACATACCTGGTACCCGCAGTCCTCAGGGCTCTGCTCTCTCTGCTGGATCGGCCAGGGTTGGGCAGCTGCGTTGGGAGGGGCCTGAGGAGAAGGAGGGGACCAGGGGCGGTGCCGCAGCCCGTGCTATTTTGAGCTGCTAACGGAGCAGCAGTGAGAGGAGACTCCTTGCTGTGGCTGCTCCAGGCCAGGCCATGCGGGTGAGTGTTCCTCTGACCCCCCCACCCCGGAAATGTCCCAGGCTTTTTATGCTGTGTCCTCATTTAAGAAAGGAGGGGCCTTTTGTTGTTTCCCTAGATGTGGCTAAAGTAGGTGGGGAGGGAGGGGTGGGGCTCCTTGGGGCTCCTGGTAGTAGGAGGAAGGGCATTACCAAGCCTAGGCAGCCTCAAAACCCCTCAGAGGTGAGCGACATCTTGAGCCTGACTTAGGAGTGTGAGAGCTTTGGAGGGGGCACTATCTTCTAATGCTCAGGTCCTGGGACTGTCTGCCACCCACAAGCTCTGATACCCTTTCCCACAAACCATTAGTGCTCTGGTACATGGTTCCTTAGAACCTGGGTTTCTTCCAAAGCCGGGACCCCGGCACTCCTGGCCTTTGTACGTCTTGTCCCTGGTTTGGGTTGCTGGTGTAGCCCTCTCCCTCACTTCGTCCTGGCGAGACAGGAGAAAGGAGATGACCCTTGTCGTTAACAGGAACCCTTCCTTCTCACTGTTCCGAAGAGGAGACCCAGCATAGCTTCTTCCATTCCTATGCCCACATAGGAAAGGGGCAGAGATAGCATCTCAGGGACTCCCTGACTGTCTGTAAGTCTCCTTTTTAACAGAGATTACTCTCAAGTAGTAAGTTCCTTAAAAAAGCAAGTGAGGAGAGACAGCGGCCTCCCAGTCTATCCCGTTACCCGTGCCACCAAGGGTAAGGTTTTCAGTCGAGTCAGCAGTTGGCAGAGTGTGTGGGTTGGCCTGGTGCGGAGGTGTATCAGGAATCTAAGATGTGCCCATCAACATTTGTATCTCTGTGCCCAGGGACTGCCCTGCCCCTGCCTCCAGGCTGGCAGCAGTATTGAAGTATGTGTGAGCAGAGTGGGGGCGAGGCCTGAGGGAGCACCTCACCCTGAGAGGTGGCACTTCCTGGTCTTACTCCCCACCCCATCCTGCTCTCTGGGCCACCAGGACCGGGTCCACAGAGTCAGGACCATAGGCAGTTACAGCCAGGCAGATGGCAAAGTGCCCCACAGAAGGGCAGTGCATGTCTCCGGGGAGGAGAGGCCTCCAGCAGGCCCAGCCGTTGGAGGAGGAAACCCTGGGCCTTCTGCAACTGCAGTGGCAGCAGGAAGCCATTCCAGTGCACCTGCTTCCTCTGGGCTGGGCAGAAGCGACCAGGGCCACTCTGCTGCTTTCTGTTTTGCCTGGTGGGGGAGGGTTCTGGCTGAAGGCTGGACCAAAAAGGCCAGGGTGTCCCTGCTAGCCTCTTCTCCCCCTCCTCTGGCTGGCGCCGTGGCCTTCGCATCATTCCCTGCAGACCTCCCGCTTCCTCTCAGCAGCTCAGTGGAGAGTGTGCTCAGGTCATGGGGAGAATGGTGGGCACACTGTCTAGGAAACTCTTTCTACCCACGTTATTGTTCTGGCAGCTGATGTGTGTAAGGACCACAGGCAGGTGAACAAGACAGTGGGGCAGGGCTGACCTCCTTCCCTTAAAGTGAGCCTGAGAGGCTCTCACTAGAGGACAGACCTGGTGTGAGCCCCAGATCTGCCCCTCGCTGCTGTGAGGCCTTGGACAAGTCACTTGACCTTCTAAACCTTCTATTGCTCATGTGTAAAGAAGGACTCATAGTGGTGTCTGTTTCAGAGGTACACTATGAAAATCAAGGGGGTAATGCATATAAGGATGCAGCACACACACACAAAAAGGATTCAGCACAGAGCCTGGTACATAGTAAGTGCTCAATAAAGACGAACTGGTGGAGTTGAGGGGGGTTAGTTCAATGGTACACTTCCTTTTTTTTTTTTTTTTTTTTTGAGACAGGGTCTCACTATGTAGTTCAGGCTGGCCTTGAACTCACATGTAGCGCCGGCTGGCCTCAGACTCACAGCACTTCTCCTGCCTCAGCCTCCCAAGTGCTAGGATCACAGGCATGAACCATTGTGCCCACCTCAGTGGTACAATTATTTTTATTGTTTTTTTTGTTTTAGACAGGGTCTTCCTATGTAGTGCAGGCTGCAGGCTGGCCTTGAACTCAGTTATGTAGCCCAGGCTGGTCTCGAACTCACAGAGATCCTCCTGCCTCAGCCTCCCTAGTGCTGGGATCCCAGGCATGTGCCACCATGCCCAGCTTCATAGCCCTGGCTTCAATCCTCAGCACTACAAAACAAACAAATAAAACAACTTTGTTATTGCTGGCATTTCTGTTATTTCTTCTCTTCTCCTTCATTCCTCCCCTGACCACATTCCTTAGGCAAATTAGTATCATACTAGGTTGGGCTTGGCAGAGAAAGGGTCTCCTGAGAGCTGCCTTCAAGCCCTCAGAATGTGAATGGGGAATCATCTGCCTCTCTCCTCATAATGAAAAGGCCCAAGTGTTGCTTTTATTGGTCGAGGGGAAAACTGGGAAGTGGTCTTGGCCACAGGTGACATCTTGGTTCCCTCTAAGTACTGTCTCTTAGGGTTACCCACCACTCCTGGGGGGCATGCAGCTTCCAGATGTCTGGTTTAGACCCTTGGGGCCTCCATGTATGCAGGCTGGGATTTGAGGCCTGAGGGGCTGCCCAGTGGGCAGAATTAAATTCTTCAGAAGACATTTGTGTCCCTGTTTCCTCCAGTAGGAGGCACAGAGAAAGGTACATTAACGGGGGGTGGTCAGTGCTGGTGCCAGCATCCTGGCCCTGCGCCCTGAGTGACAGAAGACTTCGGGTAGATGGATGATTCCTCAGCATATTTCTTAGATTTCTCCTCTTTGAGAACAAATGCTTCTAGCTATTATCGCCTGTACTTTTTCCTTTTTATTGACTACTTAGCCATCTCTGCAATAAAAATAAGCAGTAAGTAACAAATGCATAACAAAATAAATACCAAGTTTCTCTGTTGTCTAATTCATACCATTTACAAGATTATTATGACAACCATTTGTATCCTATTTAGATTCTAGTTTTTTTAATTGATATTATTATATGTGGAGTTTTCCATATGGTTACACTGTCCACATATTTGTCAGTTTAAATGGCAGTGTAGCCATATGTTGGACCAAAGCTCAGTAGTTTACCTAACCATCAGCTGATTCTAGGCACTTTGGCCTTTTCCAATTTGGGGCTGTTATATGAAATGTAACTAAAAAATATTTACGTGGGTGTATGGGTTTTCTTTACGTCTTTAGTCAACCAATTGGATGTACATTCCTGAAGATTGAATGACTAGGTCAGAGAATGATACATTTTGTAGCTATTATTGTTCCACAAAGAACCGCTAAGCAATTTCAAAGTGTCCTTGTCCTCCCCCTAATCCGATGGCATTGAGTTTACTATCTATTTCTGTTGCTAAATTTAAAGATTACCCTTCCTTTGGTTGTAGCACTCTTCTGGGAATCAGGATAGGCAAATGTTTTTCTCTCTAGTTTACACTGGGGGAAGGTACCAGCTAGGAATGAGGTTTGGGCAAAGAGCCCCTGTTCTAGCCCTGTTATGCGGCAAAAATTTAAGTGCCTACAATATGATGGTAAGATAGTCTTGCCTGTGAGGAAATCACAGTCTGGGAATGATGTAATCACCCGTGCAGCTCACCAGGATCCATCCTGGTTGTGAATCCCAGCTCTGCCACTTATTAGCTGTGGGGCTGTGGGCATCTTACCCTTTCTGTTTCCTTATCTAGAAAGTAAGGATTAAATGAGAGACAGTATGAAGGGCCTGCTCCTGTGCCTGGCTCATAGTAAGTATTCAGTGAGTGTTGATTTCTCTTCCCTTCTCTCAAGTGAAGAGGTCAGAAGCACCTCAGAGGGAGGAGTTGGCTAGAGCCCCAGAGTGCCAGGGTCATGGTGGGGTCTCCCTTAGCAAGTCCAGAAACTCAATTTGGAAAAGTTGGACACTGGTGAGCACCACATTGTTAGCCCATGCTTTGGCTCACGCTGGATCTCCTGGGCCTCAGTGCTAATGAAGTGTACCTACCAGATTTGGCTACTAAGGGTGACTGGGCCTCTGGTGCTTGCCTATCATATCAGAAAAGATGGGCTGCTAAGGAAGCGACACAGGCCTTGGAGTCAGACCGACTTGCACCCAAATCCAAATTCACCACTTTAGTAAAAATCTCCTTCCTAGACTTTTTCCTCATCAGTAAAGTAGGAATACTAATAATTTCTATGTCATGGGATGGTTGTAATATTTGTATTAGAAATACCTATGTTAAATACCTTATAGAGGGCCCATCTCACCGTAGGCATTCTATATATAATAATTAATGTTCTTATTGGAAATGGCTGAAACCTCTAGAGAAGGAACAGGTCAGGGAAGAGAGGCCTTGGCTATGGTACCCGTTCTTCACAGAGCCATTAGTTTTCAGCTTCAGTGGCTGTAACAGAGAAATTGCCACCACCTTTGAGGCCTGAATTCCTTGCCTGTTTTGCATTGGACAAAGCTAGTTTGTTCGTGATCCTGAGTAAAGCTTAGTTAGAATCCAGCGACAAGGAAGAAAGGGAAGCTATCCAGGCAGTTCTCCTCTGGGAGAAGCCCACACGGGTTCAGAGAGATGCTCCGAAGGAACAGATGCAGAGGAATGGCTGATGTCAGTGGTCTGTGTCCTGGACCAGAGGGGAGCTGCCTGGACGAGTAGGAAACCTGGAACAAGAGATCAAAGAGCAAGTGAGTTAATCCAACAAGCCAGCTTCCAGTCCCTGAAGTTACTGAGTAGTAGGACAGAACTCAGCAAAGCCAATTAAAAATATTTGAGGGCTGGGGGCATAGCTCCGTAGTGGAAAGCTTGCCTAGCATGGTTGAGGCCATGGGTTTAATCTCCAGCGCTGCAAAAAAAAAATTGAAAATAAAAATTTCTCTAATTTTTAACTACTTGCCCATTCTAAGCAGGTATAAGAACAGAC